ATTTTCTTTGTTCCCAGCAAAAAAAAACGCACAAATAGAACCCTAAACCCGAAATTTAATACTTTCTAGAGAAAGAGAACAATTTTACCTCTCTCCAAGAACTGTAACTGGAATTCCAACACTTGGGTATTGTTGAGTTGATAATCAACAAGCCTTTCCATTAACTCCCACGCATATTTAAAAAGGTAGGCTCATTAATTTTCTATATCTTTAAAAGAGAAGAGTAATTTGGCAATAGGATGTAGAGGAGTTTGTATTTTGAATATTTTTTATAAAAACTCTTCCGAAGAATCGTGACTGAAATGAATTGGGCCGAAATGATACGACTGTTTCACAAACCAGTGTATCATTGCATGTGACATAATTCATTAATTTCTGTCCAATGAATATTTCTTTTAACCGGTGCAGATAAAGAGATGCAACCAATACCTATGTATCTGTGCAATGTTCCATGACCCTGCAACCCTTCATGTAAGTTTTCACAAACATTGTAGCTTCACATGACACTTTTCATAAAATATAATAATATATTACATCTTTCCAATTGCAATACAAGCAACACGTGGTGCTTGCAACTTTCCAATTGCGCACTCGGTGTTCACCGTTGGAGTTTGTCTGCTCCTGTCTGGTTTCTAGCTTCTCATGCAATTCATCCTTGATTCTAATAGAAGAATCAAATAGTAATTAGTACTGCTATGTGTATGTCTTGACTTTCGGGTGATAAATGTGTATTAATTAATAAGGTCATAAACTTAAATTTGGTGCAACAACCCTTCATAAGAAGGGTTGTTGCAATGTTCAGGTGCCGTGAATTTCTGGTGCAGCTAATCTCCATAGTTGATTTCTATAGTACTCTGTAAAAGTGTCCCAAAGGGGCTTGCTTTTGTATGTATGTAATTTGGAACTTATAGCAGGTTAGACAGCAACAGAAGAAGCTAGCTAGAGTACCCTTGGTTACACACTAACATGGGAGAAGACATCACAGATAATCTTCTGATAAGAGAGGCAAGTGCACAAGGGAATCGTGTTGATGATAAGGATGAAGATTTGCCACTCAAAACCAGGGTATGGAATGAAAGCAAGAAGCTGTGGGTGGTGGCTGGGCCTGCTATATTCACCAGAGTTTCCACCTTTGGAACAAATATCGTCAGTCAAGCCTTCATTGGTCACATTAGCTCTACTGAATTAGCTGCATTTTCACTTGTATTCACCGTACTTGTTCGGTTCGCAAATGGCCTCTTGGTATGTTTATTTTCAATTTAGTCTCATGAAACTGATGGGAGTATTTATTTCATAGATATTCCCAAGTAGCGTAATTGAGCCATTCATTGTTGTCATTTAGTACATAAGAATATTCATGAATTTGTTGAACACAAGTAGTTCAGTTTCAATTTCTGTTCACGTATTCTGTGAGTTGTTTGTTTGTTGTTAATGTATTGAAAATGAACACAAATTCACGTATATGGATTCGAATATTACTAATTGTTTATGATATGTCATATCTATGAAATGCATTTCAAATGGAAGTCAATGAAATAAAATCCCAAAACTATATATACATATTGATCCTTTTTTAAATGTAAATACCCACACTGCATTTTAATTCGTCATCTGTTTTGCAACCTAGCCTGGAGTCATCTGGCTACGGAAAGTCACATAATCGCTTCGCTTAGCTTTTTCCATGCGATATGAATGATGTTTCTGAATCTCTTATTCTACAGCTGGGCATGGCTAGTGCGTTGGAAACTGTTTGTGGTCAATCATATGGTGCAAAGCAATACCACATGCTTGGGGTGCATCTTCAACGGTCATGGATAGTATTGTTTGTGAGCACATTGTTCCTCATTCCTATTTGCATCTTCGCAACCCCGATTCTCGAGGCTTTAGGCCAAAAAGATTATATTGCAGAAGAGGCAGGATATATTTCTCTATGGGTGATCCCTGTGCTTTTCGCTTTTGTTCTATCCTTTACCTGCCAAATGTACTTACAATCACAGAGCAAAAATATGATCATTGCTTATGTGTCAGCAGTTACAATTGGAATCCACATCCTCCTTTCATGGCTTTTGACTGTGAAATTTAAGTTCGGGGTTGCTGGTGCAATGGTGTCAACGGTTATAGCGTATTGGCTACCCAACGTGTGTCAGCTTTTGTTTGTTCTATGTGGAGGATGCCCAGAAACTTGGACCGGCTTCTCCATCTTAGCTTTTAAAGATCTATGGAATGTCGTCAAGCTTTCTTTGTCATCTGGTGTTATGCTTTGGTAAGAAATTTTGTTTTTCTTTGTTTTGGTTTTCCATGTCATCCGATGCTAGTTTAACTTTTCAGTGATATTCTGTCTGAAAATAAAGGAGAAATATCAGTTATTTCAGAACTAGTTTGGCAGTAGTTTAGTTGTTAATATAGCCTTCATACAAGAATGATATAGTCATTTTGGAATGAAGGTCTTATGACTCCTCTGTTTAGTACATACGGAGCTCCTGAGTAGAAATCTCATTTTCCGTTACAGTCTCGAGCTTTGGTACAACACGATCTTGGTTCTTCTAACGGGAAACATGGAAGATGCTGAAGTTTCTATTGATGCTCTAGCTATTTGGTAATTTTCTGAGCTTTCCTCCTTTCGATTTTATGTAGACATAAGCTCTGTCATCTCACATTTTTTTAAACTACTTTCTTTCTTCTTGTGTTGTCTTTTCATTCTTATGTGTTCAACTACAAATATGTTTAGCCTCAACATCAATGGGTGGGAAATGATGATAGCCCTTGGTTTCCTGGCTACAGCAAGGTAGTTTACTATTCTCATCATCTTGTTTCTTCAGAAATATAGCAATGTATAATTTATATTGGCTAATGTTGTTTTATTTTACATTCATTTGGAACATTAGATGCATTAATTCGTGCAACGTAACGATGTGCTGATGTTTGGTTGAAATCTTCTTCTTCCAGTGTACGAGTGTCGAATGAGCTTGGACGGGGTAGCGCAAAAGCGGCAAAATTCTCTGTTGTGGTTATTGTGTTGACATCACTTTCCATTGGCTTTGTGCTCTTCTTGATTTTCCTGTTCTTGAGGGAACGTCTTGCCTACATTTTCACCACCAACGAAGAGGTAGCTAAGAAGGTTGCAGAGCTGTCACCTTTACTGGCCTTCTCCATATTGTTGAACAGCGTTCAGCCTGTGCTCTCTGGTATTCTTGCCATTTTTTTGATACTCAATCAAATTATTTTCCCTGATTATAATTAATTTAACCTTTACCAGTATTGTAGATCCTGAAAAACTTGCAACATAAGCATTAGCAAATTTTTATCCACAGGAGTTGCTATAGGAGCTGGATGGCAGAGTATTGTAGCATATGTCAACATAGCGTGCTATTATCTTATAGGGATTCCTGTTGGAGCTGTGTTGGGTTTTCTTCTACATCTACAAGTCAAAGTGAGAGCTATAAGTTTTCTTCTTTTCACTCATATATAGTAGATTTTGTGGTGTCTATCACTCTATTACGATAATAGAATTTTTTTTAATACAACCGATGGTCTAAACTATAAAGGGGAGGGGAGTCTCACACACATACACTAATATCAAGATATCATAGGGGTTCGAACGTGAGATCCCGTTAGTATGATAATTGAAAATTAAAAACCTTGATATGGTTAATTCTGGTTTATAAGCATGCAATGTTTCATTTGGACATAAATTTATTATGTTTTCACACTGGAGAAATAGAAATACAGGGTCATCTGTATTGATTGATTTAGCAATTAGCATGCACATACATGCCATGATCTTGCCTTCAGCTTTTTTCCACATGAACCTATAAAATCACTTCTGATAGTAGCATTTTCTCCTTTTTTTTCTCAATTTTTTTTATAGAAAAAAATTACTTATTCCATCAAGTCTGTTTTGTAGGGTGTTTGGATTGGAATGTTGTTCGGAACATTTGTCCAAACTATTGTACTAATCATACTCACCTGCAAAACTGATTGGGAGAAACAGGTATGTTTAAATGTTTTCTTTGTGGCCTTTACTATAAATTTTACTTAAATGTGAAACTGAAGTATCTACTTCACACCAAGCAATTAAAAGTTGTAAACTTCTACAGGTAACAGTAGCTCGTAACCGTGTTAGCAAGTGGAATGTCAGAGAAGATATTGGAGAACCAAGCCCCGACACATAAAAATGTCTTACTTTTATCAATCTTCCTTCAATTACAATTTTCCATTATTGCCCTATCATCTTTTTTATTTTTATTTTGTTTTGTTTTTGTCGTCCATGAGATTTGACTCAGAATCTCCTCCAACAAAATGGAGTATGAGTGCAACTACACCAAATGATCATTGACATTGCCAATGGGTTCCCACCATAGTTGTGATGGATTCCCCTCCAACCATGGCACCCAGGATCGAACCCCAATGGAGTTTCTTTCCTCCAATGTAACCAAAAAAAATATATGATCATTGACATTACACCAGATCATTAAACGTTATAATGATGGACATTAAGAGCAAGTGTACTTTATTTAACGTGTGTCACAATTAATTTTTAAGTGACACACGAAATTTTGAAGTGAATGTGTCATGATTAGTTAATTCCTCTTATTCTTTTCGGTTTAAAAGTAACCAAAGAAATTAAATGTTGTATTCCATTTACTATAGCAAGGAAGAATCATTTAATATAGTTGGTTATTTTTTTTCTTTCTTTCTACTTCTTGTTTACAACAAAAATTTTCCACATGGACCCCATGAGAAAAGATGACGTGGCATGGACACATTAGGTCACAAACTTAGCCCATTTTATCAAACTCCAGCCCAATGACTAAAACAGGAAAACCAGCCTTTGAGGCCCAAGACCATGACTACAGACTCGGCCCAGAGTGGGATTTTCAGCCAAAGTCATGAGATCTGCAAAAACCCAGGAAGCGATGGGCCAAATCATTCGGCCTAGAACCAATGGACAAAAGGCCCACGATCCATTGCCCAATTCAAAAACAACAAAGGCCCAAAGCCTAGGGATTGGGAATTTGACCAGTGACTGCTCGAGCTGCTCCCGCAACGAGATCAGGTCGCCTCATGCTGACCGGGGGACGGACTGGGAGCGTTCCTTCAGGGACTTTCCCCGAGCGTCGAACAGCCGCCTCAGAACTGATATGGACAAGGGGAATCCAACTGTTTAATTAAAACAAAGCATTGCGATGGTCCCTGCAAATGCTAACGCAATGTGATTTCTGATAGAAGACTTTACATCGTGGACTCCACTCAACAAACAGAATCATGCATAAAGAGATCACATTGACATTCCTTTATTCCCTATGCTCCACTGAGATTATTATATACAACACTATGTTATCCTATACCTACACTGACATTATTATATAGCACTATGCTTTTGTTTGGATGCTCCATTGCTTTATTTGTCTATATATTGTAGACTAATGTATCATTCAAAGGACAATTAAATATACAATATTCAAGATAGTTCTATCTTTCATGGTATCAGAGCTCTTGTCTTAAAACTCTCGATCCAATTTTTTTTCTCTCTTATTCTTGTTTCATATTCTTGGGTTCTTGGTTTCTTTTTACCTGATGGCTTCCTCCTTTACTTCTCGAGTATAGAGAGCAGTGGAAGTAGAGTCGGAAAGAGGAGAGTTTGAATCCTCAAGACGAGACTCAGCACTCAAAAGAAGAGCAAGAACATCATCAAATGGCATAGAGGTTTCACGAGCTTTGACAGAGTTTACACTCTCATAAGCGGGACCAACGCCATTAAGAATAATTTCAATAAGATCGTCATCATCTACGGGTTTACTGGCAAGAGAGAGTTGATTTGCAATAGCAGTCAACTTATCAATATAAGCAGTAATAGACATACTATCGCGCTTAGTAGATTGGAGTTGTTGCTTAAGTTGAAGGATACGAGAGCGAGATTGAGAGGAATAGCGGGTAGACAATGACTTCCATATCTCAGCAGAAGTAGTACAACGAGCCACATTGGAAAGAACACTCGGAGTCAATGTAGAATTGATCCAACTCATAATTTGCTTATCTTGTCGCTGCCAAGTAACATACTCAGGATTTAGAGATTTATCATCAACCATTTTTGCAGGGCAACTCTTAGAACCATCAACGTAACAGTAGAGATCATTTGCTTGCAACAAAGGAGTGAATTGCGCAAGCCAAAGCAAATAATTGGTGCGATCAAGTTTCAGTTGGCAATGGTGTAGGTTTATCTATTTCACATATTGGCTCTTTTCTTTGTCTTCATTTAAACTAAATACTATTCTCCATTGTCCTTCTGTGTCTCATAATTTGTTGAGTGTTCAAAAATTCACCTCTGATAATCATTGCTATTTTATTTTTACACCTTCTTCTTTTTATGTGAAGGATCTATCCACAGGGAGGATGCTTTTCCAAGGCAAGAGTGAAAACGGTTTATATCCATTTTCGGCTTGGTCGTGCAAATCTGTAGCTCTCATTGGTGAACGTACAACTCCCACTGTGTGGCATCAACGTATGGGTCATCCATCTCATTATATTTTCACCAAAATAAGCTCTTGCATTCCCGTTAGTTCTTCTAGCTCAAGTCTTATGTGTCATGCATGTCCCTTAGGCAAGAGCACTGAGCTCCCTTTTCATGTTTCTTTGTCTGTTTCAATTTCACCACTTCAATTAGTTCATTGTGATATTTGGTCTTCTCCTATAGCTTCAAATAAAGGTTATAAATATTTTATTTTGTTTGTGGACGATTTTTCTAGATATACATGGATTTATCCTATGCAATTTAAATCTGAGGCATTACATTATTTTCAAAAATTTAAACTGCTTGTTGAAAATCTTCTCTCAATTCATAATGTATACACTATCAAGGCATTGCAAACTGACAGCGGTGGTGAGTTTATGAGTAAAAACTTTCAAAATTTTCTCTCTAATAGTGGTATTTTTCATCGGGTCACTTGTCCACACACACCAGAACAAAATGGGGCAGCTGAACGTAAACAACGTCATGTAGTAGATATGGGTCTTACTCTTCTTGCTACTTCTCATATGCCTCAGTCCTTTTGGGTCGATGCTTTCAATACCTCTGTTTATCTTATTAATCGTCTTCCGGCTCGCCAATTGCAGTTTCTATCACCTCATGAAAAGTTGTTTGGTCGGGCTTCATCTTATTCTGTTTTTCGTGTTTTTGGTTGTGCTTGTTTTCCTTATTTATGCCCATATAACAAAAATAAATTAGAATTTCGTTCCAAAAAGTGTGTTTTTCTAGGATACTCTTTAAATCATCAAGGTTATCGTTGCTATGATCCAGTTTTTGGACGTGTTTACCTATCTCGCCATGTTGTATTTGATGAGACTACTTTTCCCTTTGCTACTGTTGCACCTCCTTCGTTGCCTGCAACCTTGGATGAGCATCAACCCGTGGTTCTTCATCCTTCTCCAGTTCTCCCTTAGGTAAATCTTCCTCCTATTTCTTCTTCTTCTGACACTAATATTCCTCTCTCTTTGTTGTCTAATAGTGCCCCACTACCTAGTCATGTGCTTTCTCCCCATTCCTCATCCCTACCGTCCTCTCCAACAACAACCTCACCTCACTTAGTTTCTCAATCTCCTCCTTTATCGCAGTCGCCACCTTTGACACCTTTGTCCCAAGTCTCTCTCCCCAATCCGGTAAATCCATCCTCACCCCAAGAATCTCCACAGTCTTCTCCTATTGCATCTCCTGGTTTTCTGCAGTTAGTTAAGACACCCTCGCATCCGATGCTTACCCGTTTTAAAACAGGCACTTGTAAACCCAATCCTCGATATGCATTAGTCACTTTTTCGCAAGACTTGGATCGTGAGCCATCTAATTTTCATGAAGCAAATCAATATCCTTCTTGGCGCTCCGCAATGGCTACTGAAATTCATGCACTTCAGAAAGCATGCACATGGGATCTTGTTCCTTCTTCTCAGGCTACTCATATTCTTCCTTGTAAGCGACCTGTGGATGAATGAAAACTTACTTCAACACTCAAGTTGAACAAAAACCCTAAACCCTAAATCAAATTGGAACCCATAGCGTAGCCGTCGTCATCCTTGATGGCTGCCATTGTGTGTCCCTGGGGTTTTCTTGTGAATGATGGCCTGAACCAAGACAACAGCAAGAATGGTTTGGCACCTCCCAAGGCAAGGACCTTTGCTTCCATTGTTTCAGATACCACGGAATCATCTATTGCACTCAGTCAACTACCAATCCCTACAGTGAGAGGGGAAGTTACTTATATTAAAATTTCTGAGGACGTTTACCAGGAGCAACTTCGGACTTGTCGATCCAACCTTATTGGTCGTCTTCTTTTGCGGAAGGGTTCTATGCCTATGAAAACTGTTGATCTCAAGCGTGCCCTTTCTGTCTTATGGCGGCTCCATGGGGATTGGAGGCTTATTCCTTTAGGAAAGGGTTATTTTGATATTCATCTCGACACTGAGGATGACATGCGCCGTATCTGGGGGGGTGGCGCATGTACTCTAGCAAACGGTATTTTTCGTCTTTCTCAATGGGTTCCTGATTTTCAACCTGGTATGGTGGTGCCCCAAACCCATGCTCAGGTATGGGTTAAGTTTTTTGGGTTAAGTCAGGATTATTGGCACCCCCGAACCCTGATGGAAATTGCCCGAGGCATTGGCACTCCACTGCAGCTTGATAATGCAACTAGAGAGCGTCTATATGGGTACTTTGCTCGGGTTCTGGTCGATGTTGATCTTACAGGTGAGCTTCCATCTTCCATTATGGTTGAACGAGAAAACTATGGCTTTCCGGTAGAGATTGTGTATGAAAATTTGCCTGCTCAATGTGGCCATTGTGGATTATTTGGACACATGACAACAAAGTGTCGTCGTCTTCCCAAACAACATAAGGAGTGCTAAAATATGAATATGGGTTTTGAATATGTTAGGTTCTTATTTTTATTCTTCTCCATAAGGAGGTATATATAAGAGTTTACATGAGTGCTTTACAAGGAATTAGATATAGTAAAGGATTAGGAAAGTATCTCCTAATTATACAATGATTTGACAACTATATAAAAATAAGAAAGTAAATCCCTTAATTAATAAAGGAAATAAATCTCCTTGATTAATTAGGAGACTCACTTCAACACTCCTCCTCAAGTTGGTGCATATACGTCACAAATGCCCAACTTGGTAAGTGAGTCATAAAATACTCTGCCACAAACAGCTTTTGTTAAGATATCTTCCAGTTGCTCTTCTGATTTTAAG